CCTCCACACTAGCAAAGGCAGAGAGGCGACTTTAGCTTTCATTGCTAAAACTAGAGTAGGGACTAGAGGCTGGCATCTAGGCCAAGAACAAGATAACTAAAAATAAGCGAGAACAGAGAGACACTACCTAAAACTAATAATAACTAACAAACTTTCTTAAGTTACTTTCCTTAGCCCTAAAAGAGCTCGCTGGAAGACAGCCCTGCTGTCTAACATCTCTTCCTGTTTACTAAACTGCTCTTTAGCAACTGGAGTCCGCTTTAAGCGCAGCTAGAAGCGACTAAACCGCAGCACAATAGCAGTACTATACAGAGAACACTCTCACTTTAAACAAATTGTACCTAGAACGGCCTCTGGCCAAAGTCTTACATAGTCACTGACTGCAGATAGACTCTAATGGAATAATAATAATAATAATAATATAACCTGCATGGACGCGCAATGACCCAGGACGCGCAATGACCCACCCCACCAAACTCAACACCTACACAAAATACCTCATAACTCCACCAATATGGACCCGATTCAGGAAGCGATTGAAGAAATCGAATCGCGCGAACTAGGCGCATCTTTTAGCTATCGCCAAGTTGCAAAAAGGTTTGGCATTAGCTATCGTACGCTCGCTCGAAGACACTAAGGCAAAACTCAGCCTCGCGCGCTCGCCCACCTCTCTATCCACCCACAACGCGAAAAGGAGCTTGTACAGTACATCAAATCCCTCACTAAGAGGCGTACACCACCTTCGCGTCCAATAATACGCCATCTTGCGTCATCCTTGCTTAGTAGAGACGTTTCAGAACGCTAGGTTTCTAGGTTCCTCTGCAGGAACTCCTCTTATCTCATCTCTCGCTAGCAGAGTCCTATGGACCAGAAGCGTCACAAGGCTGATTCAGCAACTAAGTATAGGTTGTACTTTGAGCTGTTACACAATAAGATGAAGGAGTACAATATACAGCCCTCTCACATCTTCAATATGGATAAAAAGGGCTTCTTACTTGGAATCCTTGGAAGGTCTAAAAGGATCTTTAGTAAGAGGCAATATGAAAGAGGAGGAGTTGTTTCAAGCCTACAAGATGGCTCTAGAGAGTGGATTACAGTCCTAGCCTGTATCTGCTCAGATGGTACACCTCTTTCTCCATCTCTCATCTTTCAGTCAGATGCTGGAGCTCTAAAATCAGCCTAGGTAGAGGCTATTAATCCAAACAAGCACTCAGTCTTTGTTACCTCATCGCCCTCTAGATGGACTAACAATAATATAGGCCTAGCTTGGCTTAAAGAGGTCTTTGAAAGAGAGACTGCACGCTACGCTCGAACTGGGTACTGGTTACTCATTGTTAATGGCCACTCATCTCATGTAACCATGGATTTTCTGGATTATTGCAATAGCCATAGGATTCTAGTTGCTGTATATCCTCCTCATTCGACCCATAGGCTTCAGCCTCTTGACGTTGGGATGTTTGGGCCTCTAGCGTCAGCCTACTCAAAGGAGTTGTCAAACTTCCTCTATTGGAGCCATGGAATCCTTCCTCTAGCAAAAGGAGACTTCTTTAAGCTCTTTTGGAGGGCTTGGGGTACAGCTTTTAGAAAGAAGACTATTATAAGCTCCTTTAAGGCAACTAGCATTAACCCACTAAATGCTGAGGTTATTCTCCAAAAGTTCCAACAAGAGGCCTCTAGTTCAGATGAAAGCTCTTCTTCTGTCCTTAGTGGAGATAATTGGCTCAAAATTGAGTCTATTATACGCCGGGAGGTGAAGGATTTCAATAATAAGGAGGTAAAAAAGCTTCGCCGAAGCCTCCATCACCTCTCAGCTCAAAATAGTATACTCAAAGGAGAAAACCAGGGCTTAAGGGAGGCTCTAAAGGTCAAAAAGAGACACCAAAAGAAGAGCTACACGCTTCAACTCAATAGGCCTGAGGAGTACCATGGAGGAGCTGTCTTTTGGTCTCCTAAGAAGGTTCGCCAAGCCAAGGAGGATGAGATGGAACGACAACAAGAACAACAGCAATTACAACTCCAGAAAGCTGAGAGATCTGAGTTAAGGAGACAAGCTCAATTGTACAAGCTTCGAAATAGC